GATGACGAGCCCAGGAAGCTCAACACTAAATTTCAAACCTAATAGCATGTGTTTCTTATTTTAGGTTTTCTATATGTTTCTCTTGTGCTCTGTCATTAAAAATTAGCCCTCCCCCATTAAAACTTGGCATTTGGGTAGCTTCAATGGTATTTTTGAAACACTGATGCACATATTTATCCAAATTTTAACATCATTGAAATCGAGATGTGTCTTATAACCACTGAATGGTGTGTCATAGTTTAACTGGCAACATGCTTTCAATCTTTGTAGTATATAAAATAATGGTGCATGTTATAATTAATGGTGTCTTAGAAAGGCAATGCCAAAGAATGCTCAAACTACTACACAATTGTACTCATCTCATAGGCTAGTAAAGTAATGCTCAAAATTCTCCAAGTCAGGCTTCAACAATAAATGAACTGTGAAATTCCAGATGTTCAAGATGGATTTAGAAAAGGCAGAGGAACCAGAGATCAAATTGACAACATCCGTTGGATCATCGAAAAAGCAAGAGAGTTCCAGAAAAACATCTATTTCTGCTTTATCGATTGTGCCAAAGCCTTTGACTGTGTGGATCACAACAAACTGTGGAAAATTCTTCAAGAGATGGGAATATCAGACCACCTGACCTGCCTCCTGGGAAACCTATATGCAGGTCAGGAAGCAACGAACAGGACATGGAACAAGACTGGTTCCAAATTGGGAAAGGAGGACATCAAGGCTGTATATTGTCACTCTGCTTATTTAACTTATATGCAGAGTACATCATGAGACATGCTGGGCTAGATGAAGCACAAGCTGGATTCAAGACTCCCTGGAGAAATATCAATAACCTCATATATGCAAATGACACCACCCTTATGGCAGAAAGTAAAGAACTAAAGAGCCTTTTGATGAAAGTGAAGGAGAGTGAAAAAGTTGGCTTAAAACTCAACATTCAGAAAACTAAGATCATGGCATCCAATCCTATCACTTCATGGCAAATAGATGGGGAATCAGTGGAAACAGTGGTTAACTTTATTTTTGGGTGGCTCCAAAATCACTGCAGATGGTGACTTCAGCCATGAAATTGAAAGACGCTTACTACCTGGAAGACAAGTTATGACCAACCTAGACAGCATATTAAAAAGCAGAGACATTCAGTCATTTGTCAACAAAGGTCCATCTAGTCAAGGCTATGTTTTTCCAGAGTCATGTATGGATGTGAGAGTTAGAAAGAAAGCTGAGTGCAGAACAATTGATGCTTTTGAACTGTTGTGTTGGAGGAGACTCTTGAGAGTCCCTTGGACTGCAAGATCCAACCAGTCCATCCTAAAGGAAATCAGTCCTGAATATTCATTGGAAGGACTGATGCTAAAGCTGAAACTCCAATACTTTGGCCACCTGATGTGAAGAACTGACTCATCTGAAAAGACCCTGATGCTGGGAAAGATTGAAGGTGGGAGGGGAAGGGGATGACAGAGGATGAGATGGTTGGATGGCATCACTGACTCAGTGGACAGGAGTTTGAGTAAGCTCCGGGAGCTGGTGATGGACTGGGAGGCCTGGCGTGCTGCAGTCCATGGGGTTGCAAATAGTCGGACACGACTGAGCAACTGAACTGAACTGGATTTGATGAAATACTTCACTTACTGAAGGGTTTCCCTATCTTGTCAATCTGGTTTATTTTCCATGACGCCTTTTATCCCTTCCCCAAAGGGGAATAACAGTCTACTTAGGGAAATAAGTACAGTCCAATATAGGGCTTCCCTGGTGGCTCAGATGGTAAAGATTCTGCCTAAAGTGTGTGAGACCTGGGTTCAATACCTGGGTCAGGAGGATCCCCTGGAGAAAGAAATGGCAACCTAATTTAGTGTTCTTGTCTGTAAAATCCCATGGACAGAGAAGCCTGGCCGGGTTTTTGGGCATTCCAGTCAGCCATGTATGTACAGTTGAATATCCTTTCAGGGCTGACAGGAGGGAGCAAGGTAAAAATTGAGGCAAGTGTCTTGATCCCCAGATTGGAATCAACAGTCCTGGGGGTCTGAGAAGCAGGATGTGGTATCTCCACTATAAACTTGCTTCTTGGGGCATAGACTTAGAAAATGGCAAGCCTCCTGAAGAAACCTCCATGGTATTGGAACAACATGGCACTAGCTGCTAACAAATGGCCAGAGGAGGTATTTGCACGGATGATCTGAGCTCCTGCCCTCTGCTCCACCCCCACCCCCTCACCCCCCACCCACAAATCCTGACTTTCTGTGTATCCCAGAATAAAACTGGAAAAAAACTGAGTCCAGAGTGAAAACTCTGTTGAGCAGAGACCTTGAGACCCTAGAACGGAAGGATCCACCTTGCAAGACTGTGGTCCAAGGCAGTCAGGAGCAAATAGGGGTAACCGGATGCTCCTCCCCACTGCCGGGAGGGCACGCAAGCTTCCATTTACACCCAGAAGCCATCTGGGAAGAGAAGCAGGTAGACTTCCTTAATGGGGAGGGAACTCTAACTGGGAGACTGACTTTCAAGTAATTGAATATATCTCTGAAATAAGTGTTTGTCTTTTTAAGTTTGAAGAGACTGAGTAACTGTAATTGGCAAGATTTTTTGTCCTTTATAATAAATGAGAACGTAGGATCTGAGTGCAACATGAGCTTACAATTGAAAATAAACCCATCTTTTTGCTGTACACTTGAACTGTGTGTACATGTTTAATCCTATTACAGTGGATTCTTCTGGAAGCGCATGTGTGCCTGCTAAGTCGCTTCAGTTGTGTCTGACTCTTGGCAACCCTATGGACTCTAGGTCACCAGGCTCCTCTGTCCATGGGATTCTCCAAGCAAGAATACTGGAGTGGGTTGCTGTCCCCTCTTCCAAAGGATCTTCCCAATCCAGGGATCAAACCCCCATCTCTTACGTACATCTCCTGCATTGGCAGTCGGGTTCTTTACCACTAGTACCACCTGGGAAGTCCTCATCTGGGAGTAAGATATCTCAAATAATGAAAGTAAACCTGGTTAGAGACAAAATTGGCTCTGGATTTAAGCTGAAGACAGAAATATTTATGGCAGTGTAGGAGGATGAAAAGCCAGAGACGAAATGATCAGAAAAACGGGAAAAGTAGGAGTACTCTTTCAGGAGCAGAGCAGAGAGGGGTGAATGATGGATTCAGTCAAATGCTACAGAATGGTGAGCTCAGCTGAGCCCTAGGAAGGAGCCATTTGATTTCCTGAGAGAGAGCCATTTGAAATCTTTCAAAACTGGCCATCCAGTTTTACCATTTTAAACGCCATCAATTTCATGAGATGTTAGTGTGGAAAAATATGTACTCAAACTCTACTGTCTTACAAATAAGGAAATCTGTAACCAGAGAATTTCAAAAGAACCCAGTTCAAATGATAAATATGAGAAAAATGAAAAACAAGCAGTTTACATTGGGAGTCAACCAGTCAACCTTATTTTTATGTCAGAAGAAAAATGTGTTGGGTGCAGGCATAAACCCCCCTCTAAGAACAATGAAGAGATTATTTAGGAAACAGAAAAAGTACACGGGAAGGCATCCTGAGGAGCAAACACTCTGACAGATGTTGGATGTGTTTTCCTTTTTTTATTAGAGAAGTTGGAAGTTTAATTTCAATATTGATGGTAACATAATTCTCTGTTTTATTCAGAGGAACACACAGAATCAATCTGTACAAGCATATACAACAATCCGGTTGGTGGTCTGGTGCCCTAAATCAGTAATCTGATTAGTTCTTGAGTACGGTTTCCATGCGCTCCTCTGGGCATTGGGCACAGCTCCATCCCAAGAGGGACTTTTCCATGCACTGTCTGCCACACAACTACAGCAGGCTTAAAGACCATGCAGGTTAACACTGTAGCAAATTGTTTTGATATTTAACAGACATAAAAAGGTTATTTCCTGATATGAAATTCTGAAAATCTGCATAAATATTTTTTGTGTAAAATTAAATTAGTTATGTATTTTTTTTGAAACTAGAACTTGAAGTATCAAGAATGCCCACATAGTTCATATACACATATATATAGACTTTTTCATTATGCTAAAAGTCTTGAGAGTCAAATTATATTCTGTGCCATACAGTTACTTAACCAGTATTTATTTGCATTAGGTTAACTGTGTACAGATTAGTCATAATTGGTGCTTGTGTATCATGCAAACATAGTTCTAGTATTCCTGTTCACTAATCTTGTCATGTGGCAATACTTACATGATTTTTGCTCTCTGACAGTGTGAATTAGGAGCATAAATACTTTTTACATGGTCACATTTACAAACGGTTGCCAATAACCACTTCACAATCTTCATGGTGTAAAAGTGAGCTCTAGTAATTTAGGGTCAGCAGAAGCAATTCCTAGGAAGCAATGTCAGATGTCAGCTTCTTAAATGTGCCTGAGAGTTCTCCCTGTGAGCACAGTGGGTTTTGGCACAAGGACTCGGTTCTATTTTTCTGCTGTTCTAAGCATTTCCATGACTTGCAGTAAATTAGCTTCGGATGGCATGGTGGAGACATGGCACTTACTGATGAGGTAACTCAGATGTAGAAAAATTCCCCCCCCCCCAATTATTTGTCTAGCAGATCATCACTGCTGCTAATAAATTTGTAGAGTTCTGCTCCCCCCACCCCAGTGCATGTGCTTGCTATTACATGGCTAATGCACTACTTTTGCTGCTGCTCAAACATGTCTTAATGCATCACAAAGCAGAGTTTTTAACACCATGCTCATTTACTTGTGATGATATTTTCTAGCAAACATGTTGAAGTGGTATGATCAACGGGTAAACTCTGCCTTACTGGAGTCGCAATTTTGGGGGATTTGTAACTACTTTTGGTTGGCCAAGGAAATTCAGTGTTTAGAATGTTTAAGAGAAGCAAGTCTCTGTGGTCTCAGGTGACACTTTGTCTACGTGAGAAGGAAACGCAGAAGACATCAGCTTTCTTCCATGGAATCTGTGTTCAGAAGCTGGGAGGGGTGCTCTTTGACGTGGCGGTTCTGTGGTTTCAGTTTGTGTCCTGGAGTTTCACACAACTGTTGCTGGTCTGCGGTCCATCTCGGCTTCCAATTTCACCATCTGCTGCATCTCCTTCGCCTGTAACATCAGAAACAAGACCTTACATGTTGAAATCCTCTCCTGAAGACATGCAGCAAAACCCCACCTCTCTTTTCCCTTGAATTTGATGCTTGTCACTATGTCCTGGCTACTTAAAAGTGTGGTCCACAGACCAGCACCATCAGCATTGCCTGGGATCTTGTGAGAAATGCAGAATCTTGGACTCCACCCCCACCCTTCTGACCCAGAGTCTGCATTTTAGTAAGATCCCCAGGGAATTTTTATGCATGTTAAATTCTGAGAAGGAATGGTCCACACAGTACCAGGAAAACAACTGGAAAAGAAGCTACACCTGTCACTTGTAGAGTATGTCATTTCTAACTGTTTGATTTAGTTTCCACAGACTGACATGCCTTGACTGTGTGTAGATAATTTGATCACTTTTAGAATAAGCATTGCTTATGCACAATTTATTCCCCAAATAGCCTGAAATTTAATTAAAAGTGACTGTCTAAGAATCTCACGGATAGAGAAGTTTGGGTGGGAGTCTACTACATTGATTTGGTTGGAGTATGCTGTGGACAGAATGTTGCACATATATGTAGGGCTCCTGGAAGGCTACGTCCAAAAAAGTCTCCTTACAGGCTTTTACTTCTCTGGAGCAATTCAGCTTTTACAGTCCACCCCAGGAAGTAAGCTACAATGGACTGAATCGAATGAATTAAGGCTGTCAAGAAGACAACCAGCTGATTTGAGAGGTGGAAAGGCGTCAGATGGGGACAGGTTCTGGTGACAAATCACTGCCTGGCAATATAGGGAAAAATCAATTGGTTCATTTTAAGTTTTACTTTCCGACCATGTGCTTTTTTTCGAACCCAATGCATGTATATTTTGGAGAAAAAATAAAGCATTCCTGTCCTCTTTCAGTGACAGATCACTTTGAAATAAAGGACATTTTAAAATGGAAACATAGATATATAAAGATATAACTTGGAGGAGGACTCTGATGAGCTCCGATGTTACTATTCGTGTCGACTTAGGTATTCCAACTAAATGGAAGGTCAGTGGGAGGATTTAGTCAACTCTGCAGATCATCCTATGAGCATCAAAATGTCCCAAATGAAGTCCTGCTATGAAATTAGTTTAACCCACAGACCACAGAGTGATCTCCTTCTTATTGTTATTTTTAGATTGTGGCTTTAAATTTCATTTTGGTGAGGATGGATATAAAAACACCAAAGATAGTAATTTTCTGCTTACATTTAGGATGGATGGCTCCCACTCCCCAGATTTTTTTTTTTAATGCCTGAAACCTACTAATGCTCTAATAGAAAAATGAAGAAATGGAGAAAATACACGAACATGAAACTATGACACAAACAGTATTTATAAGAGATGACAGTGAAATATTATCAGCACTGGAAATTAAATGCTCTTATGTTCAGTAAATAGTAATAAAGGATTCCCTCTGCTTCTTTCCCTCTAGCATTAAGGACAATATCAAACATGTTTTAGAGAGAAGGATCATATTAATAGTACAGGAGGATTCCAAGAGCCAGGTTCTCATATGAGCAGGGTGACCATTCATGCTCATTTATCAGGACAGTTCCAATTTATGCCTATGGTCCTGGCTATTATGAACAACGTCCCCTTTCACTTTCAAAGCTATTCTGTTTGAATGCTAAATCATATGGTCACTGTATTTATAAGGGGTGATTAGGTTCCCTGGCAGACTGGTTCTAACAGAAAGCATGACAACAGTCATTGTACAATGATGCTGTATAATGTGCTTGCATGCAGACCATAACTGTCTGTTACTAAAAACCACCAATCAGCTTTTACTGGGTGCTTTAAAAATTAATGGCAGTCATATTAATGTTTGTAAAAGATCTGACTCTGTGACCCAGTTTCAGCTGTGATTGGTCCTTTGGACCACTGTATATCACTTTTTTCAGTGACTGGGTATGTCTTCATCAGCATGATTTGAGATTCCTAGGTCTGCAACTGGAAAGGATGCTAAAATGCCATCAGAAATAATTCTCTCAAGACGCTGGGCATTTCAGTTTGAATTGTACATCAGAAATCCAAGCATCAAATAGTCAAATTTTTCAATCAAACCCTTGCGATCTTAACTAGTCAAGAGCAGATGTGAATCGTCAAAGCACCAAGAATACGAGCGCAGTTGAGCAGGAAGGCAATATCTTGCTTATCAGAATTTTCAGTCCTACCTTGCGTTTGGGACACTGCATGACAGGATTTCAAAAGCTGTTTGTACAAAAATAGTAATGTCAAAATTGAGTCATACATACAAAACAAAGAAAATAAATGAATACTGACGTGAATTTGAAAAATGAATGCAAAACCATATACAGAAAAGCAAAAGGCTAAGAATAAAACATGTATAGAACCATCAGCAACAAACTTACCCCAGGTTGATTTCAACAGAAACAAAAGAACAAAAGTGACCAATGCCTCTCAGCCCAGACTGCACCTCTCCCGTGGGGTGAGACCCTCACCTCTCTTCATTAAATGATAGGACTGATGACAAAAACCAACTTTTAAAACTTGGGTATGACAGTAATGGAGCATTCCATGTTTGAAATGGTGCATGTCAAGACAGATGAACTCATGTATGGCTGGGAGATCTATGGGAAATAGTAGGGAAAAAAAATCCCCATCCTTCGGAGTTTTAAATGAATAATTGGCCAACCAAGCAGGCAAAGCCATAGAAAGGACATAGGAGGTTAGGATCCAGAGTCAGGACCCAAATAGATTAAAACTTGAGTTGTTTCTGCCAGTGCCCTCAACACTGTCTAACTAATGAAGTAGATGATTCCAGGTTTTGCTTTGGGGCAACTGGAAATATTTATAGGATGATGGTTACAGGAAACAGTAAGAAACTTTAAAGGGAGATATTACTGCAGAATGTTAAAATTAATTTATTTTTGGCTCAGAAATGAACAAAAAAAAGTCTTGGGGTTTAATGGTAGTTTGGGAGATTGTTATACAAGTTTGGGGTTGTCTGGAGACAGGAAACTGTTTTCTGTCAATGAAATTCTGAATTGAGTTGCATCTTCCTGACCCAGGGATCGAACCTGGGTCTCCTACATTGCAGGCGGATCCTTAACCACTCAGCCACCAAATAGGTTATAGGGGGAGCTCTCCAGATGGTTCCAGACCTCACCTAATATGAGAGAAGAAATAGAGCTGCAGCATCTTTTGCACTGCGCCAAGACAGTGTTGAACCATATGTAGTAACTGAATTGAGAGGTGTTCAATCTTTAAATTCCCCCTCTAAAAGTACACTAGAAAATATCTGGGATTGAATTTGTTACAGAATGGGCCATATTTGTAAAGCAAAGCCGAACACAGAAATTCAAGTCCAAATTCCACACTTGCTGGAAGCATCAATATACCTTGAATTTCTTTTCATGGAATCTCATTAAACCGTCACCAAATCTCAAGCCTTCTTTCCTAAGCTTCTGTGATTCAAAGTATCAGGTGTGGGTGGTAGGCATTACCTGTGACCCCCTGAAAGAAGTCACCAGCCTCCCAGTAAGATCCAGTCAACACCATTATCATTAATCCAATATCTCAGTGCAAAAATGCAGGTGTGATTTGAGTTAGACATGTATTAGGATAAAAAGCCAAAGTGATTTTTAAATTGTGTACTTTAGCTCTGAAACTAAAAACACTAGGTATTCTCTAGCTCTGATATATACCACTATTGTGATGATGAGCAATTTTTAGCACATTTATATTCTTTAGTCAAACTTGTTGCTAAGCAACACAGGGGTTTCTAAGTGGTTTCTTAATTTAGTTAACTGACACATAGCTGCATCTTACCGTCATTGTGCCTTCTTCTCAGGCATCCCTACCCCGACCCAGTGCTGAGTCACTGAAGTGGATTCTAAAGTTTTGGAAATAGTGGCTATTCCCTTACCCATTCCCCTCACCCTCCAGAAACACTTTCTGAGAAACGGCTTTGAGAGCAAAAACAGTTATGTAACTTGTACTAGAAGGCGCTGTGTCTATGGACTGGTCAAATGAGTGGGACAGTAAACACTTATTGTCCACCTTGGGGATCTGTGGGCTATTCATGAATAGAAGCATTTAGCTGGAAAAGAAATGGGAAACATAACTTAGAAGAATGCTGATGAATAAAACTTCTATCAACCAAAAAGTAAAGGATATGAAATCAGAAGTTGGATTTATTTGTTACTCAATTGCAATACAAAAAATCCCCCCTGATTTTACTGTTTTGTTTTACTTTCTCAAAGGTACTTTTTAGTGTAATTTCCACTTAAGTTTTCTTCAATGGAAGCCATTTACTCTAAAAAAAAAAAAAAATACCTTAAATAGGATTACTTAATATATGAAAGGAAACAGGAAAGATTAATGCAGTACAAGTACAGATCTCAGTAAAACCTCTTTACTATTTCCAGATTGAAGTAAATTATCTAGAAATAATAACTTCCAAACCAACTACACATGAAGAGGTGTATTTGGACTGAGATAGACTGAAATTGTAACTGCTACTGAGGGTCATTGTACCATGGAAGCTAGAGGTATTTCCATCCAATTGAAATGAGACTGTGGATGGCCAGTGGGTTGCAGCCCAGCTATCTGAACTCCACTTGAGGCAAATACACATTCATCTTGATGTTGGTATATACGTGACAGCTCCTGAATAGCTGGATTTTGGAAAGTCTTTTTATCTGTGTATATTCTAATTTAGTGTTTAACACTGAGTATGCTACCCACTCACATTCAGTGGTTTGTAGAATTACGGTGGTTCATGCGTTTAGCTTTGGCTTATAAGTCCTGAGAAGGTTTTATAATTTCATTTTTAGATTGAGGTTCAAAATAGGTGGTTTCTCATTTGCTTTTAAATACAATATCATTTGTCTCTAGGGTACAAGTGATGTAACTCCACACAAAAATGGAGAAGTAACTTATAATCTGTTTTCTCCTCCTCTCAGGAACGTCCTTTTTAAAATCCCCATCATCTAATCAAATTTTGATTCTTTTTTCCTCCACAGCCACATTCCTCTCTCACTTCAAAAAAAGTACTTTCTGTTCTTGTTGGATGAAAAGGGGAAAGTGCAGTAATGGCACCAAATTTTTCTAGCCACCTTTCTTTGCCACTATGCAGGCCACTGGCTTTAGCAGAAGGGTGACTGTGGGCCATGGCATTTGCCTCCTGAAGCTGGTTGGCTGCCTACATCTTTTTATGCTTTGTAAGTGAAATACCTGCTCATTCTGTTTCTCTAGGAATTCGAGGTGCTCAAGCTGGACTTTTTTCAACTGATCCATTTCTTTGGACTGCTTCATGGCAAGCTGCAAAGCAAAACAAAACACCTCGGATCAACTTTGGGTTGTAACCTTAAAACTTATGGATGAGGGTTGGTAGTTTGCAGTTTAAGAGAAAGATATAAAAATAATTTAAAAAGAAGAAAGAAAATAGCCTGAAAACTGGGAGAATTTAAACCCCATAATTTTTACTGGTAAGACAGTTGCTGCCAAAATCTTAGAAAAGAAAAGAGTATTTGTGCATGATTAAAATTTGGCTTCATTTTCTGTATAAAATGGTACCAAACAATTACCTTAAAGATTTTAGTGAGAAGAGCTTTCAGGGAGAAGAGAAGAGAAGCTAGAATATTTAGCATACAGAAAAATCAAATTAAGCAAGTTAGCTAGAAGTCTGAAATCTAAGCATGAGCTACTATTTAGATTTTTCAAAGAAAAAGTGCTAAGAAAATTATGATACTTACTCGCTTTCTTTCTTCCAGAAACTTTTTCGTGTTGCTGCTGTTTAACTCCCTCACTCTCCTAAAAGCAAAGGTGCGAACAAGAGTTGGTATGTCACTGGATGGAATTGATATTAAGTAAGAAAAGTCATATTTCATTTAATTATTTGGATGAGATTATACTTGCTTTTCCTAATTTTTTGAGGGATTTTGAAATATACAATGTACAGAGAAAAAGACACAAAATATCCATGTATCCATCACTCAGACTAGTCATGTTTTACCACCCTGTCTCATATTTTTAAAGGAAATAAAAGTGCTGCAAATATAAACAAAGCCCCCTTTGTATTTTTCTGGACTCTATTTCCCCTCTTTCTCTCTCTCCAGAGGTAACCACTATTCTGAATTTTGGTGTTCCCATCAATAAAGATAGGCGGAAGAAACATCAACAGCCTCAGATATGCAGATGATACCACCCTAATGGCAAAGCGAAGAGGAACTAAAGAGCCTTTTGATGAGGGTGAAGGAGGAGTGTGGAAGAGCTGGCTTAAAACTAAATATTAAAAAAACTAAGATCATGGCCTCCAGCCCCATTACTTCACGGCAAATAGAAGGGGAAATGTTGGAAGTAGTGACAGATTTCCTCTTCTTGGGTTCTAAAATCACTAAGGATGGTGACTGCAGCCATGAAAACACAAGATGACTGCTTCCTGGCAGGAAAGCGATGACAGGCCTAGACGGTGTGTTGAAAAGCAGAGACAATACTCTGCTGACAAAGGTCTATATAGTCAAGGCTATGGTCGTCCCAGTGGTCAGTTACGGTTCTGAGAGCTGGACCGTAAAGAAGACAGAACGTCAAAGAACTGATGTCTTCCAACTGTGGGCTGGAGAAGATTCCTTGGACAGCAAGGAGATCAAAGCAGTGAATCTTATGGGAAATCAACATGAATACTCATTGGAATGACTGATGCTGAAGCTGAAGCTCCAGTATTTTAGTCACCTGATATGAATTCATTTGAAAAGTCCCTGATGCTGGGAAGGACTGAGGGCAGAAGGAGAAGAGGGCTTCAGAGGATGAGATGGCTGGATGGCATCAGCGATGCAATGGAGATGAACTTGGGCAAACTTTGGGAGATGGTGAGGGACAGGGAGGCCTGGTGTGCTGCAGTCCATGGGGTCACAAAGAGTCAAACAAGACTGGGTGACTGAACAGCAACAAATCTGTGTTTTAATATTTTTACTACTTATAGATGTATCTGTATGTAATATACACAAATGTGTCTTAAACTTTCATATGCATACAAATCACCTCTATCACACATGCATACATACATACATATTTGTATCATACATACATACAATAACCTCTATCAAATAAACAGGTTGTTGGGCCCACTCCTAGAGGGTCTGATTCAGTGGGTCTGGGGTAGGACTGAGATTCTGCATTTCTAAAAAGCTCCCAGGTGATGTAACTATATATATATATATATATATATAATTTTGTATGGTTTCCAACTTAACCTAACATATTCTGTGGTTTTTTTTTGATAACTTGTCACTTAGATTTATGATTTAGAGATATAACTATGTTTCAAATAATTCCATTATTTTCACCAGCTGTATGGATTTTTCCATTTATGGAAAATTTTGACTACGATATTTTCATGTTGCTGTTAATAACAAGTAGGTTTTTATTTGCCAACTATGCACAATGGTCTGGCGCATAGGGTCTTGCAATGCTTGGCCCACTGTCTGTTGGCTAAATAAATGAAGTGTAGGACATAGCTTCTTGTGTATATAAGCAAAGGTTTCTCCAGGGGGTAAACCTAGGCTTGCAGGTTGGCAGCGAGTGAACAACCTCATCTTAACTCCAAAGTACTTCTCCCAATTTGCACTCCCATCCATAGCGCCTGGGTGCTACTCTTTCTCCATATCTTCATCCCCTCTTGTTACTGTCAGACATTTCCTTTTCTGTTGGTTGGTTGGCTTTCTGAAATGGCATCACGCTGTTGCTGTAACTCATGTTTCCTGGATTACTGGTGAGGGAGAGTGTTTTTCAAGCCTGAATAGGCCTATAACTGCTTGAGTTTTTTAATAGTTATAGGTCTATTAAGGTTTTCTCTTTCTTTTACAGCCAGTTTGTGTATTTTAGTTTTTTTAAGCAATTGTCATTTCATCTGAGTTTTCAGATTCATTTGTAGTATTGTTTATAGTCTTGGTTTTCAAAATTATTTACTTCAGTATGTTCAGTTATTTCTCTTTTTATATCTAATGTTACTAATTAGAGTTTTTTCCTTCTTCTTGATCAGCCTTGCTGGAGGTTCACTTATTTATTCTTTTTCCAAATAACAAGCTTTTGGTGTTACTCTCCACTGATTTTTGTTTTCTATTTCAATACTTTTGCTTCTTAAACTTTTATTTCTTCCCATCTGAGATCTTTGGGTTCAGTTTATTTCTCTAATTTTATGCCCTCTTTGAGCATTTTTCTCTTAATTTTCATTTAAAAAAAAAATATATATATATATAGCTAGGCTATAATTTTCACTGTAAATATCACTTTAAGATCTATTCTGTTAGCAACTTTGAAGTATGTAATACTGTATTGTGAAAAATAGTCACCATGCTGAAGTTGGATCCCTAAAGCTTATTAATCTTATAACTGCAAGTTTGTAGCTTTTAACTAACATCTCTCCATTTCCCTACCCCTAAACCCTGGTAATCACCAATCTACCCTGTATTTATGAATTTGGCCTTTTTTAGGGTCCACAAATAGATAGCATTTTTCTTTCTCTGATTTATTTCACTCAGCATAATATTCTCAGAGATCCATGTTGTCCCAAATAGCAGTATTTTCTTCTTCTTATGGCTAAATAACATTTCATTGTATATACATCTCAAGCTTTCTTTAACCATTCACTTAAACACTTAGGTTGTCTGCTGTCTTGGCTGTTGTGAATAATCCTGTGATGACCGTGGGGATGCAGATAGCTCTTCCAGATAGTGTTTTCATTTCCTTTGGCTATATACCCACAAGTGGAATCACTGGACCAAATGGTAGTTCTACTTTTAATTTTTTGAGGAACACCCTCAGTATTACTTCCCACAGTGGCACTGCCAATCCCACCAACAGTACACAAGGGTCCCCTTTTCTCCACATCCTTGCCAACACATATTATCTACTGAATTTTTGATAACAGCCATTCTAACAGATGTTGAAGTCATGTCTTATTGTGGTTTTAATTTGCATTCCCTGGTGATTAGTGAAGTTGAGCACCTTTTCACATACGTGTTGGCCATTTGCATGTCTTCTTTAGAAAAATGTCTTTTTTTTTGTCTTTTGAAAAATGTCTATTTCAGGTCCTCTGCCCACTGAAAAAATTTTTTTTCCAAACGTTTAAAAAATGTATCTATTTATTTATGGCTGAGCCGGGTCTTCACTGCTGCATGTGGGTTTTCACTCCTTGCAGCAAGCAGGGGCTCCTCTAGTTGCAGTGCACAGGCTTCTTGTTGTGGGGGCTTCTCTTGCAGGGGGCATGGGCTCTAGGGCTCAGGGGCTTCGGTAGTTGTGGAGCACCAGCTTAGTTGCCGTGAAGCATGTGGAATCTACCCAGACCAGCGATCGAACCCATGTCTCCTACATTGGCAGGCGGACTCTTAACCATTGGACTACCAATGAAGTTCCTAAGCCCACTTTTAAAATCAGATTTTTGGTTTACTTGAGTTATTTACATATTGTGAATATTAATCTGTTACCTGACATATGTTTGCAAATATTTTCTCCCGTTTGGGAGGCCATGTCTTTATTTTGCTGATTATTTATTTCTCTTTCTGTGTACTGTGTACTGTGGCTACCTCTAACACACTGATATAAGTGCATTGTCATTCAGTTATAAATATAATGTCATTTATGTTGAAATGTCTTCTTAGACACAAGATAGAAGTGTTTTTCAGCTTCTGCATGTCTTTCTTAGCTCTCTGATTATAAATATTTAATTTTATTTCTCAGTGATTTGATACACAATATATTGACACACAATATATGCTTTAAAAAAGTAACTATTTGGCATAGAGAAATCATTTTTTAAAAACCAGGTCTTTTGTAGATGTTTTAGAATCACCTAACCACTGGATACAGAGTTATAATAAATAAGTATGTAGAGTTGAAATAAGAAAATTAAATAAAATTTTTTCTGGTTATTAATAACTCATAATTTAAGACAATTTGACCTCAACTGGACTGCAGTCCACTTTGCAACATATTTGAAAAAAATAGGACCAAGAGTTACTTAACAATTAGTATATTTTCAGATTGAATTCTGTATTTCAACTTTGGACAGTCTAAAACAGTTTAACAAGGTTTTTTATCATGCCATGAATATTTTATGTTTATGAGCTAGAGTGTATGATGTCCTTTCCACATATACAAGGCCATTAAACAAAGTTCCTTGTCTGAGAATAATGTCCAGATAATGGTACTTCATTGGAAATGACATTCAGTTGTGGATGTGTCTGGTGGTGAAAGTAAAGTCTGATGCTATAAAGAACAATATTTCGTAGGAACCTAGAATTTTAGGTCCATGAGTGAAGGTACATTGAACATGGTCAAGCAGGATATGGCAAGCCTGAACATGTTAGGAATCAGTGAACTAAAATGGATGGGAATGGGTGAATTTAATTCAGATGGCCATTACATCTACTACTGTGGACAAGAATCCCTTAGGAGAAATGGAGTAGCCCTCATAGTCAATAAGAGTCTGAAAGGCAGTACTTGTGAGCAGTCTCAAAAATGACAGAATAATCTCAGTTCATTTCCAAGGCAAATCATTCAAAGTCATAGCAATCCAAGTCTATGGATTGGTTGGATTCCCCAACCACTAATGCGGAAGAAGCTGAAGTTGACCAATTCCAGGAAGACCTACAAGACTTTCTGGAACTAACACACACACACACACACACACACACACACACACAGATGTCCTTTTCATCACAGGGGACTGAAATGCAAAAGTAGGAACTCAAGAGATACCAGGAGTAACAGGAAAGTTTGGCCTTGGAGTATAAAATGAAGCAGGGCAAAGGCTAACAGAGTTTGGTCAAGAGAACACACTGATCAAAGCAAATACCCTTTTTCAGCAATGCAGGAGATGACTCTACACATGGACATCATCAAATGATCAACACCAAAATCAGATTGATTATATTCTTTGCAGCCAAACATGGAAAAGCTCTACACAGTCAGCAAAAACGACCTGGAGCTGACTGTGGCCCAGATTATGAGCTCCTTGCTGCAAAATACAGGCTTAAATGGCAGAAAGGAGGGAAAACCACTAGGCCATTCAGGAATGACAGTGAAAGTCAAAGTCGCTCAGTTGTGTCCGACTCTTTGCGACCCCATGGACTATACAGCCTATGGAATTCTCCAGGCCAGAATACTGGAGTGGGTGGCCTTTCCCTTCTCCAGGGGATCTTCCCAACCCAGGGATCAAACCCAGGTCTCCCGCATTGCAGGCGGATTCTTGACCAGCTGAGCCACAGGGGAAGCCCAAGAATACTGAAGCAGGTAGCCTGTCTCTTCTCCAGTGGATGTTCCCGACCCAGGAATTGAACCAGGGTCTCATGCATTGGAGGTGGATTCTTTACCCACTGAGCTACCAGGGAAGCCAAGATCAGTCAGTCAGTCAGCAGTCATACATATGCGTATTTCCTCCCTTTCGGGCTTCCTTCCCATTCGGGCCACCGCAGTGCATTGAGCAGAGCTCACTCTGCCATACGGCTGCTTGCTTAGCTGCTCAGTCATGTCCGACTCTTTGCAATGCTTTGACCTATAGCCTTCCAGGAGCCGAGCCTAGGTCTCCTGCATTGCAGGTGGATTCTTTACCAACTGAATATTCAGGTGTGCCTAAATCAAATCCCTTATGATTGTACAGAGGAGGTGGTGAACAGATTCAAGGGACTAGATCTGGTAGACAGAGTGCCTGAAGACCTGTGGACAGAAGCCCGTAACACTGTACAGAAGAAAATGACAAAATGCCGTCCCCCAAAGGACGAAATGCAAGAAGGCAAAGTGGCTGTCTGAGGAGGCTTTACAAATAGCTGAGGAAAGAAGAGAAGTGAAAGGCAAAGGAGAAAGGGAAAGACATACTCAACTGAATGCAGAGTTCCAGAAACAGCAAGGAGACTTAAGAAGGCCTTCTTAAATGAACAATGCAAAGAAATAGAGAAAAACAACAGAATGGGAAAGACTAGAGATCTCTTCAAGAAAACTGGAGATGTCAAGGGAACATTTCATGCAAAGATGGGCACAGTATAGGACAGAAACAGAAAGGACCTAACAGAAGCATAAGAGATTAACAACAGGTGGCAACAATACACAGAGGAACTGTACAAAAAAGGTCTTAATGACCCAGATAACCATGATGGTGTGATCTCTCAGCTAGAGCCAGATATCCTGCAGCATGAAGTCAAGTGGGCCTTGGGAAGATTTACTACGAACAAAGCTACTGGAGGTGACGGAATTCCAGCTGAACTATTTCAAATCCTAAAGATGCTGTTAAAGTGCTGCACTCAATATGCCAGCAAATTTGGAAAACTCAGCAAGTGGCCACAGGACTGGAAAAGATCATTTTTCATTCCAATTCCAAAGAAGCACAATGTCAAAGAATGTTCAAACTACCGCACAGTTGCACTTATTTCACATGCTAGCAAGGTAATGTTCAAATTCCTTCAGGCTAGACTTCAGCAATATGTGAACCGAGAACTTCCAGATGTACAAGCTACATTTAGCAAAGGCAGAGGAACTGGGGATCAAATTGCCAACATTCCTTGGATCATAGAGAAAGCAAGGGAATTCCAGAAAAACATCTACTTCTGCTTATGCTAAAGCCTTTGACTGTGTGGATAACCACAAACTGTAGAAAATTCTTCAAGAGATGGAATACTGGACCACCTTACCTGCCTCCTGAGAAACCGGTATGTGGATCAAGAAGCAACAGCTAGAACCAGACATGGAAGAAATGACTGGTTCAAAATTGGGAAAGGAGTACATCAAGGCTATATATTGTCACCCTGCTTATTTAACTTCTATGCAGAGTACACCATGCTAAACGCCACGGTGAATGAATCACGAGCTGGAATCAAGATTGCTGGGAGAAATATCAACACTCTCAGATGTGTAGATGATAACACTCAAATGGCAGAAAATGATGAGCAACTAAAGAGACTCTTGATAAGGGTGAAAGAGAAGAGTAAAAAAGCTGGCTTAAAACTCAACATTCAACAAACTAAGATCATGGTATCTGGTCCCATCACTTGGTGGCAAATAGAAGGGGAAAAAAGTAGAAGCAGTGACAGATTTTTCTTGCACTCCAAATTCACTGAGGATGGTGATTTAACCATGAAATTAAAACATACTTTCTCCTTGGAAGGAAATCTATGACAAACCTGGATAGCGTATTAAAAAGCAGAGATATCACTTTGCTGACAAAGGTCTGTATAGTCAAAGCTGTGGTTTTTCTAGTAGTGATGTACAGATGTGAGAGCTGGATCATAAAGAAGGCTGAGTGTCAAAGAACTGATGCTTTCAAATTTGGTGCTGGAGAAGACTCATGACAGTCTTTTGAACTACAAGGAGATCAAACCGGTCAACCCTAGAGGAAATCAACCCTCCATATTATTTGGAAGGACTGGTGCTGAAGCTTAAGCTCCAATTCTTTGGTCACATGATGCAAGAGCTGACTTATTGGAAAGACCCATTGGAAAATGGGAAAGATTGAAGTCAAAAGGAGAAAGGAGCACCAGACGATGAGATGGTTAGTTAGCATCACCAACTCCATGGACACGAATTTGAGCAAAATCAGGGAGATAGTGAAGGACAGAGGAAGCTGGTGTGCTGCATTCCATGGGGTTGCAAAGAGTCAGACACCAGTTAGTGACTGAACAATAACAAGATAACTGCCAATATGATGGTGTAAAAGAGCACTGAATAAATTGAGTAATAATCTCCTTAAAGAGAAACAAATGACACTCCACATTTATTGGGAAATTTCTTGTCCAAAGTGTTGAAAAGGTGATTTCTTTCCAGGTTAAATTTCAGTGGAATTCCAATCCCACTGCTGGCCTGTTAATTCCAAACTGTATTTAATCCAACAAAACTTCAGCATAAAAATGCACCGGATGGTAATACGCTTTATATTCTGTCAACTTGAAACGTGGGAAATGCACTGGGTATCAAGTGCTGCTAACTCCCTCTCTCGGGGCCCATGACTAGCAATGTCCTCTTAGGTCTCCTTTACCAGCCTTGGTTAAAGCACTGAACCTCTGATCTTCTCTGGACGTCACATAAACCTTCTCCAACTCTATGTGGCCAAGGACGGATTAACACAGAAGTACAAGAGCCACGTGCCCAAGGCTCAAAGGAGCAGATCATGGTCATTTACACGCCAGAGCTGGGATTAGACTGCAGAGGAACTCTAGCTGAGATCTTAGCCTTGCTTAGCCCCTGCCCTGGCCCCCTCCTGCTTCCTCCTCTCTGCCCTGCTGAAGATCCTTTCCTCAGCAAATCATATGACCCAAAGTCCTATCTTTGTCTCTGTTTCTAGAAAACCCATTCTTAGACAAAGACAAACCAGAAAACCTGAGGGAGGTGATTTGAGATGATCCCTAGTGTCAAGGTCAGTACAAGGCCTATAGACTGCAAATGCATTCAGGATAGGCTTAACACCTAAGCAAATAAGATGCTTTCAGGATGACCTAGGCGTCATGTGGGAAGGATATTTTGCCATAATTTATACAATTTTGTTTATGCCATATTTTTGTTTATGCATATAATTTTGGAGATGAGCACACATATATTGAATGTAAATATGTTTTACTAGTGGTAGTAAGCAATCAGAAGATTTTATAGCAACAATAATATATCTTCCCAGCAGATATAACCACAGGATTCTAAGCCAGCTCTCACAAAGTTTTTTTACATCTCAAATGTGAGTGTGTGTGTACACTGGAGTCAGTATTATGTTCTTGCAGTGAGCATTCCAACTCACCTTTCCCGTTCTGCTTTATTCTTGATGGATTTATCTTGGCTGATGGCTTTGCTGTTTTCCATAGAAATCTTAGCTTGCTGTGCTCGCATCTCTTTGCTTTCCCTGTGTATTAAAATAAAAACAAAGCCAGGAAGTGATCATTTTGTAATGTACAGACATCGAATCACTATGTTGTACACCAGGAACTAACACAGTCTTGTAGGCCAATTATGCTTAAACAAACAAACAAACAAACAAACTCACAGAGAAAGAGATCAGATTTGTCGTTTCCAGAGGCAGGGTTGAGGGGAAGGGAAGTTGGATAAAGGTGGTCAAAAAGCACAGACTTCCTGTGAAGTCACTAAGTTGTATCCCGACTCTTTGGATCCCGTGGACTGTAGCCCACTAGGACCCTCTGTCCATGGGGTTTCCTCGGCAAGAAGATTGGAATGGGTTGCCATTTCCTTCTCCAGGGGATCTTCCTGACCCAGAGATCTAACTCACATCTGCTTATCAGGTAGATTCTCTACCACTGAGCCACCTGGAACAAACTTCCAATTATATGATAAATAAGCACCAGGGATGTAATGTACAATGTGATTAAGTTGTATGTTATGTAAACATGAAAGTTGTTAAGACAGTAAATCCTACAAGTTCTCTTACGAGGAAAAATATTTTTTCTTTCATTTTGTATCTCTATGAGATGATGGAAGTTCACAAAACTTATTGTAATCATTTCATGATATATGCATGCCAAAGCACTATGCTATGGAGCTTAAACCATACAGTGCTGTATATCCATTATACCTCAGTAAAACTGCAAGGAAGAAAAAGACACCTGGGGAGTGGAGAGTGAGTGTTCAGTAGGTAGAGTTTCAGTTGGGGGAGATGATAAAGTTCTGGAGCTGGTTGGTAGTGACCGATGGTTATAATAGTGTGAATACACCTTATGCTACACACTTACAAACAGTTGACATAGTAAATTTTGTGTTGTGGATCTTTAACTCTAATTAAAAATATAAACAAAAAACAGATTTCATATGTGACAACAGGACTGGGTTCACTTTTTATCTCATTATCGAGATCATGAAGTTGTCTTGCATTGTGAGGAGGCGGGCAGGAGCCCCAGTCCACACGCATGCCTTTCCTGGGGGCAGCGGGGCACTCACTGTGAAGTGTCAGCGGTGGGCTGCGAAGAAGAGACACGATGTGTGTCTAACGTAACCCCAGCCACATGGTGAGCCTATACAGCTGCCCGGAGTAGGACACTGTCGTTAAGTCATCAACATGCCAGATGCATTCTGAATAAATAAAAGCTACAAATCCCAAGTTATGTGCAACTATCTCAGGCAATCACATTTACAAGCCTATATGCAAGAAGACGAATGGGAATAGTGAGGACAGAAGGAGAATAATCAAAGAATGCATAGGGACAACCACTCACACTCACAGTCAGTAAAATACAAGGATTTTCCAGCTTTGTCCCATGCTTTTTGGGGGGATCAGATTGCTTGGAAGAGAAAGCATGTTCTAATACTCACAAATGACTGTCTTGCCTTCTGACAGCCCAAGGGGATGAAGGGGACAAATGATTTCAAATAAACACAGGAAATGGAGGGGGAAGATGCTTACAGGTGACTGATCACTGTGTGTGAATGGGTATGTGTACCACAAAAACTCATCTCTTTGGACTATTGATGAGTACAAACGCACGCCATTTAGACTGAAAATGAAAGTATTAACAAAGAATCTTCTCTGGAACCCATGGTGATCTCCTTGCAGCACTGCCCGGAAATGGTCAGGTTTAGTGGTGTTTGTACTTTGTGGAAAAGGATGGACAAAACTGAAACAGAGAGGTCTCCAGTCAGAGGACTTAGGGCCACAGAAGCTGGAATATGCACAGAAACTCCTGGACCAAGAAATTGGCTCTCAGAATTTTTTATAACTTGTTATTAAATTGACCATCTCTTCATTCATTCATTCAACAGCACTTATCAGTAACCAAATAATGTTGCCAAATGTTAGGAAGGCAATAATTTTTTAACCAAGGACAATAGCTATGACGGTAACAAAGAAACATGACCACACGATACTTAACAAAAAGCTTCAGCGCTGCTGTTACTTTGAAAAACACCCCTACCATGGATCTATTTTTTAAGGTAAATTAGTAATAAGGTTATGGTTCCTTCAAATGACTTCCTAAGTCATGCAAGAATTCATTTACTTTTTTTTTTCTTTTGGACAATGGGTACTGTTTGGGATAATTTTTTCTCCTTTATTCAACTACAATAAAAGATTAGAAGAGAGTACCTTATTCTTCAAAGTATCTTTGAATAAGGGTGGACATCTCAAATCTGATACTGTAGAAATGGTCAAAGGGAAGAAGATGAACTGACCTTTCTGTGTACTAAATCAAGAGCATTTCTCAGGAAAAAGGCACTTTTAATCCTATACAAATAAACAGAATACTTTAAAATGGATATGGTATGGTACTTGAGCCCACAAGAAACTCAGCATGACATGCATACCTCATTTAGTTGGCTCATGAGAGAATGAGAAACTATGGCAAAAATACTTCACGTTCTTACGGCTGTGTGTCACTCCATAATGAGCCTTAGAATCTGGGAATGTGCCTACATAACTCACTTCAGAAGTTTAAAGTTTGTTTGTTTGTTTTTATTTGTTTGTAAAATGCTTCTGTTTTATACTTTCTGGTGTGTATCAACAGACTGCCCCTGAGGCACACAATTGGCCCTATAGAAGCACAAGCTGCAACCAAGCTGTGATAAAAAAAAAACATCACTGACATAAACACTCTTCTGCCTGGGGAAAAAGTCCAGCTCACCATCTGCAGTGTCTTAAACATGATACTCAATGTGCTGAAATGGGGAGAAGCAAAAATAAACAGATACTTTTTGCTATTTCTTGATCAGACCTGCCTTTCTAAAATTTATAGACACCCTGACAGTGGAAAGAAAGGTATCTCTGAGTCATCAGAACCAACCATTCTAGGAGTTCAATTGCTTAGTCTTTATCTCCTTCTGCATCTTTTCTTCCTAAGAGGTTCCAGAGATCATTTCTTAAAAGCCAAATCTGGCCCTATCATCTTGTGAAGCCTCCAGAACCACTCAGAGGCAGCGGAGTCTGTGATAACTTTTAATCTGTATGGTATGCTACTTGTAATGTGACTTAATTTGTTGTAGGAGTATGATATCTTGCCACCACTTGGAAGCATTTTGATGGTCGAGGCCATTTCTTATAGTTCCTCTTGCCACACCAACTCTATGACAAAGTATACAACAAAGCTCAGTGTTATATGTGAAGCTGATTTTCCTTACTACTTGACACTTGTGCATGCACACACACACACACACACACGCGCGCGCGCGTTAAAGCCTGGGAGCTTCCTCTGGAGCTAAGCCGCCCACCTGTCATGGGACAGTTTCAGCTGCTGGGTCTGCTGCTCGTGGGCGCTGATGAGGAGCTTTCTGAGCAGCTCGCACTGCTGGCTGAGGTGCAGGTCCCGGATCTCCTGCTCCTCCGCACTGTGGGTGTTGATCATGTCTGACCACTCCTTCGTGTGTTGTGCTACAATCTCCTTGACCTGTGTGGGGAAAGGGTGGTGCCACCTGGAATTCTCACAAGCACAGGAGCTAAAAGCACAGTATCAACCATGCATTTCAGATCCCCCTCATTTCTTGACTTGGTCAATCAGTAGACACAGAACCTGTAAAAATATGTACTAACCAACAGGAACTAGGAAGTCATCACTTTTTAAAACAGGGCAATCATTTTGGCTCTAGGTATTTAACCATGACCCATTTCACTGCCCAAGTTGCCCACACGCCGGTTTTGTCTGGTCCTTGGGCTCCTTTACCAATTCGATGAGAATTCTCTTCATCACCTCATGCTTTTCCAGCTTCACTTCCACAAGGTCACAGTTCTGAAGAGAGAGCTGTATGTCCTCTTATTCCTGGGTCATGACTTATTGTATCATCTTAGCAAACCCTGGGGTAGACAGTCTCCCCCTGCAGAGAGCATCTGTGCTTGTCGCACTGTGCGTTTACGGCTCATCAAGCGCTAGACTCTTTCTCAAGCTCCTTGAGTCTGGCTGACCTGTGACTTGCTTCAGCCTGTAAGACTGTACAAATGTGATGCAAACAGAAGCTGTGAAAGTGCTTATCCTTTCTCTGTTCTTGGAACTCTGAGAAGTCTGTGCTAGCCTGCTGGAGAGTGAGAGGCCACAGAGTTAAAAACCACCAGCAGCCAGCTTCCCACCAGAGACCTCAGAGAGGCCATCAGTCCCAGCCGACCGCTGACACCCAAGTCCAGCAGTAATCAGCAGAGCTGTCCGGTGGTGTATAGTCTGAATTCTAACCCACTGAACTGTCAGTTAATACACGGTAGTTGTCTTAAGCCACTAAATTCTGGCACGGTGTTTCATTCAGCAAAAGCAACTTGAAATAGTAACCAAGGTTTCTACTTTCATATTTACACAAAGCGTTTAAAAATCATGGAGTGTTGCATAGTCATTAATTCTCAAACACTCTAGTTAAGAGGAGGAAAAAAGAGCAGGGAACAGCTCTCAAAAATATACAGCTGTAGACTCTCTACACCTCTTTAGACTGCATGGCAGAATAGACAAATACACAGAACCACGGAGAACTTCAGTTTGGACCACCTGCCTGGCCCGGGTGTGGGGCAGCGTCACTCGCTGGACGATGGAGCTTCATGGAGACGTAGGAGACTGGCTGGTCTGACCAAAAGCTATAGTTGGAAACTTTGTCTTTAACAGTTCTTTTTCTTCTATAACTTTTATCATAAGAATTGTTTATGTTCTTGAGTGCAACATGGTGCTCGGTTCTTCAAGGTGTCTGTAATCACACTTAATGTCCCCTAAACTCCTATTTTCTCATGTTTTGTGGGCGGAATATGAGTAATTAGGCTCATCTCCTAGAATCTTAGCTCTGGAATTTTCCCCATCCCAAACTTCCACAGCAAAGTTAGAATGGAAAATTAAATTATTGACTATAAAATAAATACTGAAATAAGCGTTATTGAACCCTCCGTATGGGTGGTTTTCTGTCATATGTTCAATGCCACATCTATAGGGAAGTACTTCTATATTCTACACAATATTTCCTTTTAATCCATGTATTGATTTCCTGATGCCTCTTAGGCAGACAACATAGACACTGTGAGTATATGTCTACAATGAAGGAAAGGTGTTCCATGAAATGCCTCTTCTCTAACCCAGTGGGCCCAGACCAATCCCAGGCTACTGTTATTTCTGATTAAAACTGGGTGCAGCTTCAAAAACAATTACCAAGTTGTTGCTGTAAAAATAAGCATTTTCTTACCTTAGATTTGTGATCTGATGTCAGCGTCTGAATTTTAATTTCTGTTTCTTTCTTCATTTCAAGACAATTACTTCCCCTGAAAATGGAAAACCGCAAATGCATGCCAAGCATGAGATATCTCCCCACTCCCAGAGGCCTTTGCTCCAAAGCCTTCCACTGAAGACAATTAGTTCATCACACCTGGGATGCCATGGTTCACTGGGCAACCTCAGTTCTTCTAGTAATAGATGAACACCTTACAAAATATCTGTATCGTGATTACTCAATTCAACCACTACACAAAGAGTCATTTCAGACCTAACAATTATTTCATTGTAAAGGATTTGTTGTCAGTTTCCATTTTGGTTCCTGCTGTTCTTCAAGCTATTTTTCATTTATTCAATAATACACTATTTAGGATGAGAACTGAAAAACAGGACCTCAGCCTTGAAGTGAATTTTCAGTTCTTCTACTTTGGTTGTAAAGCCAGATTTTTGTCTTTGACACATGCCAGCAAGGGAGAAAAATAGCATTTCTTGGCACTACGGGGTAATTTTTGCTTCTTACTCTATTGTGAGTAGGAAATATATACTAGGCAATTGCCCAGCAAACATTACTGCTTATTTCAGTGATTATTTTTTCCTTTTGGAATATCCGTATCATTGCTGAAACCAGAACAGGCCCTGAGTGTCTGTCTTCAGCATGTATGCTCTGATTTATTATAGCCTAAGTCAGAATGCTTGATCGTATTATTAATGAAGAGTGCCTCTGAGAGACACATTCTAAACATCCACCTGATCACTTCTCCATGTCTGGCACTGCGTGTGTTTTCCCTGCTCTGTTATTCAGTTAGCTTGCAACATCACAGAGACATCTCCCTAGCTGAATTCTAGATAAACTCTTTCAAAGTAAATGCAATGACAGGTTTTATTCAACAGTTTTAGCTGTTGGAATAAGCAAAAAAGTCTTGAAATATTAAACATCAAAACTGGAATTTTCCCCCTTGAGTACATCAACCTTATTATTTATTACCTGGTGGTACAAAATGATTTTTGGAATTTTCCCAACTTTGTCTTTCCTTCTCTCCCCATTCACCTTAAAGGTACTTGCATGGAAAACTCATGAAAGACACAGTTATTATTTCATTAACCAACATCTGTAGAACTTGAACAAAGCTCCTCTTTCCACTTCAGTCACTCCCTTTAGTTTAGTAGGTCTCTTATTTTCTGAAATCATTTTTAATGATGAAAACACAGCTAAGACTAAGTTCTTCCTTGGCCTAAACAGGCAGCTAAACTGTGGGAAAAGCCAGAACATGAAAAGGCAAAAATCCTCCAGAAGGAAATCAACAGCGCTTACCCTTTCTTCTTCATTGCCTTCTCTAGGATTTTCTCATGAGTTAGTTTCTCCTTGTCGTACTGGGCCACAATCTTGTCAACTTGCGTGCAATGTAGTTTCTGCATGGTACTGTGCTCCTGCAAAGAATTTGTGGTTCTGAGTTAGATAGGCTTGCAGTAAGGCTGATAAACTTTAGCCCACATTGGGCTGGAGCCAGAAAGACTTCCAATCTCCCACCCAACTCAAGAGTTTCTTGTATCCCCATAAGGCCTCGCCAACAAGGGGGTCTCCAGCCTCAGTCCAATGAACATGCCTCCCTCCAAAGGCAGCCCCGCCCGCTGCCGGGCAGCACCAATCACCCCGAAGTTCTTTCCTCTGCAAATAGATGGCTCTATTGAACTCCACCCATCCATCTTTTTTTCTTTTCTTTTCTTTTTTGTCCGCACCATGTGGGGTCTTAGTGCCCTGACGTGGGATGGAAGCCACGCGTCGCTGCACTGAAAGCGCACAGTCTGGACCTCTGCACCACCACCGAAGTCCCTCACCGTCCACCTTTGCTCTGCTGTCTGAGTCATCTGACTGGTCCACGGCCCCTTCCTCAGCCTAGTGCCCAGAATGCAAACTCAGTCTCCACATTTCTTCTCTTCCACATGCTGAATATAAACTACTCATCACGTGGCATGGCTTCTACACACCAGGGACATTTTAGAAGTTCTTGAACATCGTCATTACACAATGAGAACTGCCACTGTGGTTTCACTGTCGGTGCATTTTGGATCCCTAACAATTAATATTTTTGCCAGCTTCCTTATCAAAATGCACTCACAAGGAAGACAGAATGTTCAGGAGCCTTGGTCTTCAGCTTTACAGATATTTAAAATATTTCTCCATCTGCTTCCTCTAATCACTGAAATGGGCTGAAAGGCTTTGAAAATAAGTATTTCTCTATGAACATTACTTTTTCCTGATAATTTGGCCATATCTAGGGACTTAATGAAATCAGATTCTTTAGCTGCTCAGCCCCTAAACACAGAGGAAAATATTACTATCAGTAATATTCACTCCAAGATGATGTTTAATGTATTACTCCCAGTATTACTCTTGAGAAACTTAGAGAAATGAGATGATATTAAAGTCTGGAATGGGTAGACTACATTCAGCTTATACAGCCACCCTCATGGCCATGTTTGCTTTTGCTTACTTTTTAGAGTGTGTCCAAAGAAGACATACAAATGGCTAACAAACACGTGAAAAGATGCTCAACATCACTCATTATTAGAGAAATTCAAATCAAAGCCACAGTGAGGTACCATCTCAGGCTGGTCAGAATGGCTGCCATCTAAGTCTACAAATGATAAATGCTGGAGAGGGTGTGGAGAAAAGGGAACCCTCTTACACTGCTGGTGGGAATGCAAACTAGTACAGCCACTGTGGAGAACAGTGAGGAGATTCCTTAAAAAACTGGAAATAGAACTGCCATATGGCCCAGTAATCCCACTGCTGGGCATTCACACTGAGGAAATCAGCATTGAAAGAGACACATGTACCCCAATGTTCATCGCAGCACTATTTACAATAGCTAGGACATGGAAGCAACCTAGATGCCCATCAGCAGGCGAATGCATAAGGAAGTTGTGGTACAGATACACCATGGGACATTACTCAGCTATAAAAAAGAGCACATTTGAGTCAGTCCTAATGAGGTGGATGAAGCCATTATATAGAGTGAAGTCAGAAAGAGAAACACCAATGCAGTGTAAGAACGCATATATATGAAGTTTAGAAAGGTGGTAGTGATGACCCTATATGCAAGACAGCAAAAGAGACACAGACGTAAGGACAGACTTTTGGACTTCGTGGGAGAAGGTGAGGGTGGGATTTGAGAAATAGCACTGAAACATGTATATTATCATAAGTAAAACAGATGACCAGTGCAAGTTCAATTCATGAAGCAGGGCACTCAAAGCTGGTGCTCTGAGACAACCCAGAGGGATGGGGTGGGGAGGGGGGCGGTTAGGATGGGGACACGTGCACTTGTGGCTAATTCATGTTGATGCATGGCAAAAACCACCACAACATTGTAAAGTAATTAGCCTCCAATTTAAATAAATAAATTAGTTTAAAAAATTAGGTGTGCAACAAAAGTTAGTGACTTAATTTTTAAAAATTGATTCTCTTTCTAAGAAAATCACCTTGAACCTAATTCATGAATGTCTTTAAAGATTTCATAAAATATAAATGGGGAAGGGATTTTGAACCTTACCAAGATGTCCTTAATTTCCCAGTGTTGCTAGTGAGTTAACACAGGAGTTGATCTACAGTTCACATATACATCAGTTCTTCAGAAATGCATTGGCGCAGCCAGTCCTAGCCTTCCTGCCAGGTTGATAAATGCCTTTGGGAATAGGTGTAGAGGAAGGTGGTGATGGGTTCTTGGAATAGGCTCTAGAAACAGGGACAATGGGGTGGCCCTAGATGATGATACTTTGCTCTGGATTTGGGGTCAGAGAATTATATGTAACAATGTCTTGCTTAATTTGTGGTTGGAAGAGCTGATAAATCTAGTCCTAGTACCAATCTAGTCCTAGTACTGGGCTGGCCAAAAAGTTCATCTGGGTTCTTTGGCCAGCCCAATATATGCTCTTGAGTGTTATAAACACATTTCAGTCAGGTCTTCTGCATTGGATTAAGGATATGAACAGTCTCAGGTCTTGGGACAAGCCACTTAATCTCAGTCTGTCCATCTTTATAATTGGGATAGTGATACCTACTTTAGTGGGTTGTTAGGATTAAAAGTAAATATAATATAAATCATATTTCAAATGCTTATTAAGCCTTATTCAAAATATGTTGCTGTTCAGTTGCCAAGTTGTGTCTGATTTTTTGTGACCTCATGGACTGCAGCACACTAGGCCTTCCTGTCTAATTCAAAATATGGTGACATACAAATCTACTTATATTATTTGATCCTCATGAAAACATGCAGAGTGACCTGAGAGAACAGCCAGTGAAATTAAATCAATAAACCTTTCCTTCAAGTTCAACACACTACCCCAAGAATAGAATGACATGTTGATGTATCCTTATTTAAATGGATTTAGCTACTTCTGTACTATTATGGGGGGGAAACACTAAAAAATACTAGCCTTCCTTAAAAGATTTAATAAACATCATGCCTGTCTGCATATATATTAATTTTCCTGGACAACTAAATAAGGGGCTCTGTAAGTCTAGGGGCTTCCTAGGTGGCTCAGTGGGTAAAGAATCTTCCTGCAATGCAAGAGATGCAGGCAGACACAGGTTTGATCCCTGGGTCAGGAAGATCCCCTGGAGGAGGGAAGGCAACCCGCTCCTATATTCTTGCCTGGAAAATCCCATGGACAGAGGAGCCTGGTGAGTTACAGTTCATGGGATCACAAAGACTTGGACATGACTGAAGTGACTGAGCACACATGCATGTAAGTCTAGAATAAAACATCCTAGAAGTGCTACCAGACATGGAACAGACTGGTTCCAAATCGGGAAAGGAGGATATCAAGGCTGTATATTATCACCCTTCTTATTTAACTTATATGCAGAGTACATCATGAGAAATGCCGGGCTGGATGAACCACAAGCTGAAATCAAGATTGCTGGGAGAAATATCAATAATCTCAGATATGCAGATTACACCATCCTTATGGCAGAAAGTAAAGAGGAACTAAAGAGCCTCTTGATGAAAGTGAAAGAGGAGAGTGAAAAAGCTGGCTGAAAGCTCCACATTCAGGAGAATCTTTTCACCATTAACCTAGAAGTTTTATTATCAGTGCTGTATAGTTGGAGAAGTCTTGAGACTATTGGAAGAACAAAACTGAAATCCAGAGGCAGGAGACTTAAGCCCAAATCTTGAGAAAACCAGAAAACTCCTGACTACACGGAACATTAAGGAATAAGAGACCATCCAAAAGCTTCCATACCTACACCAAAACCAACCACCACCCAAGAGCCAATAAGCTCCAGTACAAGACATACCATGCAAATTCTTTAGCAACGCAGAAACATAGACCTGAGTGTCAACATACAGGCTCTCCAAAGTCACACCTAACACATAGATCCATCGCAAAACTCATCACTGGACACTCCATTGCACTCCAGAGAGAAGAAATCCAATTCCACGCACCAGAACGCTGACACAAGCTTCCCTAACCAGGAAACCTTGACAAACCAATCGTCCAACCCCACCCACTGGGTGAAACCTCCACAATAAAAAGGAACCTCAGACCACAAGAATACAGAAAGCCCACTCCAGACACAGCAATCTAAACAAGATGAAAAGGCAGAGAAATAACCAACAGCTAAAGGAACATGAAAAAAGCCCACCAAGTCAAACAAAAGAGGAGGAAATAGGGAATCTACCTGAAAAAGAATTTAGAATAATGATAATAAAAATGATCCAAAATCTTGAAAACAAAATGGAGTTACAAATAAATAGCCTGGAGATAAAGATTGAGAAGATGCAAGAAATGTTTAACAAGGACCTAGAAGAAATAAAAAAAAGTCAATTAAAAATTAATAATGAAATAAATGAGATCAAAAACACTCTGGAGGGAACCATGAGTAGAATAACAGAGACAGAAGATAGGATAAGTGAGTTAGAAGATAAAATGGTGGAAATAAATGAAGCAGAGAGGAAAAAAGAAAAAAGAATCAAAAGAAATAAGGACAACCTCAGGGACCTCTGGGACAATGTGAAACGCCCCAACATTCGAATCATAGGAGTCCCAGAAGAAGAAGACAAAAAGAAAGGCCATGAGAAGATACTCGAGGAGATAATAGCTGAAAACTTCCCTAAAATGGGGAAGGAAATAGCCACCCAAGTCCAAGAAACCCAGAGAGTCCCAAACAGGATAAAACCAAGGCGAAACACCCCAAGACACATATTAATCAAATTAACAAAGATCAAACACAAAGAACAAATATTAAAAGCAGCAAGGGAGAAACAACAAATAACACACAAAGGGATTCTCATAAGGATAACAGCTGATCTATCAATAGAAACCCTTCAGGCCAGAAGGGAATGGCAGGACATACTTAAAGTGATGAAAGAGAATAACCTACAACCTAGATTACTCTACCCAGCAAGGATCTCATTCAGATA